AAGCTTGCATGACTTATGCAAGTAAGCCTCATTTTCAAAACATCTAGATTAGGCATCTAATGATAACATTGGAAGAATGGAGAAGTTGGAAGAATGAGGTCTTGTGTTGAAGATATAGAAATCGATGTAAATTCAGTCCTGAATTCTACTGAATGACTTGGCCTGTACATTTAAATTACTTATGATCTTTTAACTGTTAGTTTCAGATTTTTAAATAATCTGGTTATTGCTGAATATGAGAGTGGTGCTTTTGGAATCTTCCCCTGGACTAATCATGTACTTGAGTCTTGCAATGGAAGAAATTAAGTGTATGTTACATGTAAAATACTTCTGATGGAGCAAATGTACTGTTTGATAGGCACCTGATGTCACAGACACAACACAATACATCAGCAAGACTGTAGCCCAGGTGTGTCTGTGTGTATATATATATATGTCACTTTTCTGTCTATCCTTATGTCAACATATAGCATGATACTGTTTTGCTTCTGTCACGATCTCCCAGCAGATATCCCCCAGCACGAGGAGACAGTGTACTGACAGCAGTACAAAAATTTCTGTGAGTTAGGACCAAGAGGAAAGTATACAGTCTCTTCCTCCTCTCCATCATTTTTTTTCTCTCTCACTTCAAATCCTCTTAAAAAGAGCAAGCCTTTACCCTCACCCAAGGGATTTAACCCTGTTACCTCTGGTCAACTGTGTTCTGTTCTACAGAACACCAGTTCTATCCCCTAAACAATCTCCTGCCCTCCTTTAGTGGCACAAAGCCAGAATACTCTTAATGGGAAAAGCTTCCTGTGATATCTTCAATCTTACCTGCAGGCTTTCTTGTGGGAATGGGTAATTAGGCCACTGGTTAGGGATTTGTAACATGCTTCACTCTAAAAGAAGACTTAGGATCAGAAGAACTCCGATTGAGGTACACTCTCTGCACCTGCAAAATCCTTTTTCTGCAGGAATAGCAGCCTAGCTAGAGGAGACTGACAGGCAATTTTGCATGCAAATGTGTAATTTTGTGGGTGCAGTCAAAATTCAGTGGGCATCCCTTTTCACTTCTCTAGAGGCAGCCAAATAAATGCTGAAATGCATATTACTTAAAGGTAGTAATCTAGTGAACAGCGGAAAAGACCAAGCAACGTGCAGTTTTTTTTTCTTCCATATGTTTTGACATCTCTGAATTAAATCATGTAATTGTTTTGGTGCAATGGTTTTTGGTATTCTGCTTCTAAGGCAAAATACCTAGGCCAGTAGGCCAGCTCTGCCAGTACCATTTCAGGATCTTGTGCAGGGTGTAGGTTTTGAACAAGAGTCTCATTAGCAAAAAAAAAAAAAAAAAGACATGTAATTATCATACCTTTACTTGATAATTAACATGACAATAGGGGAAGAAAGCCCATGAAAGTGTGATCTGCAACATGGCTTGACTCTTAGTGTAGTTTGGATATGTTTTTAGGCACAGGATATAAATCTGCCACACATTTAAATATTGATTATCCCTGTGTGTAGGAAGGCAGGCAGAGGGGGCAGGCGACCTGCATGGATGAGCCGGGAGCTTGTGGCAATGCTCAAGCAGAAGGCAGCGGTATACAAAAGGTGGAAAAAAGGACAGGTCCCCTGGGAGAAATACAGGAACGTAGTCAGGGAATGCAGAGATGCGACAAGGAAAGCTAAGGCACGTCTGGAAGGCAAGCTGGCAAGGGACGTTAAAAATAACAAAAAAAAATTCTTCAAATACATTAACAGCAAAAGGAAGATCAGGGAAAACGTGGGTCCGCTGGAGGACGGGATGGGCACCTTGGTTACAAATAACACAGAAAAAGCAGAGTTGCTCAATGCCTTCTTTGCTTCAGTGTTTACCAAGGGCAGCCCTTTAGAGCCCCAGGCCCTAGAGACAAGAGAAGAAGCGGGTGGAGAGGAAGACTTGCCCTGGGTAGAGGAAGATTGGGTCAGAGAGCACCTAAGGAAACTCGATACCCAAAAATCCATGGGCCCTGATGGGATGCACCCCAGAGTGCTGCCGGGAGCTGGCAGATGCCATAGCTAAGCCGCTCTCCATCATCTTTGAAAGATCCTGGAGAACGGGGGAGGTGCCGGAAGACTGGAAGAAGGCCAATGTCACGCCAGTCTTCAAAAAAGGCAAGAAGGAGGACCCAGGCAACTACAGGCCAGTCAGCCTCACCTCCGTCCCCGGAAAAGTGATGGAACGGCTCATACTGGCCGTTGTCTCCAGGCACATGGAGGACAAGAAGGTGCTCAAGAGTAGTCAGCATGGATTCACCAAGGGAAAATCTTGCCTGACTAACCTGATAGCCTTCTATGATGAAATGACCGGCTGGATAGACGAGGGGAGAGCGGTGGATGTCGTCTATCTCGACTTCACCAAGGCTTTTGACACCGTCCCTCACAACATCCTCCTGGGCAAGCTCCGGAAGTGTGGGATAGATGAGTGGACAGTGAGATGGATTAGGAACTGGCTGGATGGCAGGGCCCAGAGAGTGGTGATCAGCGGTGCAGAGTCTAGTTGGAGGCCTGTGGCTAGTGGGGTCCCCCAGGGGTCAGTCCTTGGTCCAGTCCTGTTCAATTTATTCATCAATGACCTGGATGAAGGCACAGAGTGCTCCCTCAGCAAGTTTGCTGATGACACGAAACGGGGAGGAGTAGCCGATACCCCAGAGGGCTGCGCTGCCATCCAGAGGGACCTGGACAGACTGGACAACTGGGCGATGAAAAACCTCATGCAATTCAACAAGGCCAAGTGCAAGGTCCTGCACCTGGGGAGGAATAACCCCAGACACCAGTACAGGCTGGGGACCGACCTTCTGGAGAGCAGCTCTGCAGAGAAAGACCTGCGTGTCATGGTGGATGATAAGTTGACCATGAGGCAGCAGTGTGCCCTCGTGGCCAAGAAGGCCAATGGAATCCTGGGCTGCATTAAGAAGAGCATCTCCAGCAAGTCGAGGGAGGTGATCCTGCCCCTCTACTCAGCCCTGGTGAGGCCGCATCTGGAGTACTGTGTCCAGTTCTGGGCGCCGCAGTACCAGAGGGATGTGGAGCTGCTGGAGAGAGTCCAGCGCAGGGCCACAAGGATGATCAGGGGCCTGGAACATCTGCCCTATGAGGAGAGGCTGAGGGAGCTGGGCCTGTTCAGCCTGGAGAAGAGAAGGCTGAGAGGGGATCTAATCAGTGTATATAAATACCTCAAGGGAGGGAGTGCAGAGGACGGTCATGGTCTCTTTTCAGTGGTGGCCACTGATAGGACTAGAGGAAATGGCCGGAAACTGAAACATCAAAAATTCCATAGGAACTTAAGGAAAAAATTCTTAACAGTGAGGGTGACAGAGCACTGGAACAGGCTGCCCAGAGAGGTTGTGGAGTCTCCTTCTCTGGAGATCTTCAAAACCCGCTTGGATGCAGTCCTGTGCCACGTGCTCTAGGTGTCCCTGCGTATGCAGGGGGGTTGGACTAGATGATCTCTAGAGGTCCCTTCCAACCCTAAGCATTCTATGATTCTATGATTAGTTAAACTGACTACATTATACATATTTGCCTTGTAAGGAGCCCATTTTTTTTTCACTTTCAGATAGCTAGACTTCATACTTACAAGGTTTTAATTTTGTTCTTCCAGAGCAATCAACAGCAGCTGAAGCTCAGACTATATTATTAAATCTAATCATTTTCAGTTAAATGACTGTTCAATAACTGTATTTCATCAGAAGAAAAGGACATAACTGTGCTTACAGATTTCTGTACAGAATGAAAGAAAACTTTTTTAGGTAGCCTTATGAAATCTTGAAATACAACTGTCCTCCATATAAAGGTCTTAGCCTTCAATTTAGAATCCAATTTCTGTTCACATTCTGCATAATATTAACTGTTCAGTTACTTTTTTGGCTGTTGTAGAACTGAGTTATTGGTCACTAAAATATGGTATAACTTCTTTGAACAATCTCTATTCAGAGAATCAAAAGTTTAGATGCCCAATATGTATTTAATTAATC